AAATTGACTTCGGTTCAGTTGACATTGACAATGTCAATCAGTCTGTCTTGAATGAGCACCACTAGCAGGGGGGTTTTGCGCCTCAGAATCCTTCGCGCATGCAGCTTACGGTTTTGGAGCGCCTGACGATGCGGATCCGCCTGTCAGATGGCCGAATGTCGCACCACTTGATCCCGCAATCAAACTCAATTGACTCTCGGTTCATGTCAAGTTGATGTTGACATGTTCTTCACTCTATCCCAGAATCTGCGGCTCTTCAACGACGACCCCTGTGCATGTCGAGGCATACAACTGAATCTTGCAGCCAGCAGGGAACGTGCTTGTGCAACATGGGTGAAGGAAGTGGTCTTTGCGTCAAGGTTCGGTACGGTTCTCCCCCTGCCAACTCAATGGTCCAACCGGAACAGCCACGCAGCCAAGAAATTCGCGTGCGAAGGATGTGTCGGTAGGGCCGATCACCAACAAGACTACTTCAAAAGCGAGGATCTGGTTGGCTAGTTGTGCGCATGCTGAGGACCTTGTTAGATCAAGGTGGTTGGTCAACGTGGTTGGTTCAACGTGCACATTGGGGGCGGGAAAGCTCGTCTCGTCTACATCGGAGACATTTCTGCAGTAGACTGTTCAGCACGGAGACTTCAATATGTTCACGGAGTCCGTACCTCCAATCAGCTGCGGTCTATCGCGGCTCCTACCGAGCGACTTGGTAGATCATATACCAATTACCCGTATTGGCAAATCGTGCCACTCGGCCAACGCCGCTCTGACCTCGTCAAATCATCACGATAATATATATCAAGACGCTAGGGTTCTTATAGCGTCACTGATCTAGCTCATTATTATTTATTCTAGACGGTTCGGTTGCTAGTGCTTACGGCGTGCAGGGTCTCTTGGAAATAGGATAGAAACTTTCCAAGGGTTTCCAACAATCATCTGAAGTTATTTACAATGTCATTCTTTTCACAGCAGGCAGAGCCGTTGAGGTGCGTGGGGGTTAGAATGTATACAACATCATCTAGGCCTGTATATAGTAATTCGGGATATAGAGGTAGCCTGCTGGCCACGCGGGGCAATATATGCATGATTATCCATGTCTGTTAATTGGTTCAACCTTTAACACGTGCTCGGGGCATCTAAAAGAGCCTTCTGCTCTATTCTATTCTATTCTACCAGTTTAATTTCCGCCGAATAAAGTTATACTGAATACAGGATAGTAAGCCTGGTGGTGAGACCACTAGGTCTCCAGTAATGGCAGGGGTGGGAATAGCAAATACTATCGAAGTAGGGTCAAACTAGACCAGTAGAGAAATATTAGGTTTAACTCGGAGAGTTTAGCTGCTTAACTTTAGATATGCTTCCTCAGAAATGTAAGCAGCCTAAGCCGCTCTTCCTTTGTTACTTAGCCTACTTGTTCATTACTCTTACACTCTTATTCTTCCTTCGGTTCTTAGCCTCTGCCTTTACTACCTTACTACCTTCTCACTTGTATACCTCCTCGGCCTGGTCATAGCAGGCGTGTGAACATAGTTATAGCTAGAGGCAAAAGCAGAGTATTATCGTTTCACTCAGTCAGTGGGGGCGTACATGAAGGCATGCTGGGCAGTTAGACTTAGGCCATGTTTCTTGCAGGTTTTTAGTCAAATTAAATCATGCATATAGTCTTACTACTTATCACTCATTGCCTAAGCCTCACGTGAAGAGGATGAACAACGACTTATCATGGTGATTGGTGACTAGTGATTCAGTGGCGTTTGCCAAGGGGCCAGACACTGGTGAGAACTCGAGTTATATCGAGTATACTCCGTAGATTCTTCATGTAATCCTTGATCAGATTTGTGAAGAATCCAGCCTATCCCAATGCATAAGATTGGCGGTATAATCCTGATGACCTGGGTTGTATGAGACCCAATAAGCGTTAGCTTTCATCACAGCCTCACTCGTCATTGGATTACATGTTCATTAATCATTATGTTTTTAGATAATCTTACATGTTCAGAGTCTTCCATGTGTTTCCACCTGACACTAGAAGATAATTACCTTCCTTAATTGGCATTTGGTATCAGATACTCTCGTAGGGCTGGGCTCGCAAACATAACAGGCAGTTACAGTCCGCGCTCACCCCGACAGGCTAACGGCACATCTGAGCTAGACCTAGAGTTAGCCCCTTCATGCACTTTCGGTCAGATCGCCGGCAATGGCTCCCTACTCCTTCACCAATGGCACGTCGCCTCGGAGACATTCCTGATCAAGTGTTGTGAAGGATCTAGCCAGCGTAGATGAAGCCAAAGGCGACGGATTATTGGTCTGAACTCCCGGAGTTCATCGGGCTGGGCAAGTGTGTTCGTAGACCTTGATATCTCGGGAGCTTGCATAGCGGAGACTTAATGCCATGGCGATTGATTCTGTCCGAGGGAGGGAAAGGGTGAATACTCTCTCGTCACGTTGCAGTCTCACTTACCCCTTCCGAATTGGCAGAGGAAGAGCTGCCATGAAGAAAAGGGGTGAACTTGAGGGACCAAACGAAATGTACACGAGATCAAAGCCATGAGAGGCTAGGGTAGCTCTATGTCGGTAGCACTCGAGAATGTCTACAGTAGATATATTAACAAGATCCTAAAGCTCGCTTAGATAACTATCGAAAACCTGCTAGTACCAGAGAGTCATTCTTCTCCATGCCAGAACGCATCCAGCTCAACATACTTGCACCAGAGGGGATCATGCACAATACGCTTCATTGTCGATGCCTCCAGCGAGATATTAAACTCCCACGGTGCAGACTTATCTTCGCTCCGCTGCGCCATCACAAAAATCAGGCCATCGGTGTATCCATCCGGAGCTCTCATCCGTAGCGGCTTGCCCAGCATGCCTCCAAAATCAGCATCATACACACCGATCTCGCGCCAGTTACTGAGGTACAGGTTCTCTGTATCCAGTGTCACTGACAGATGGCACGGAGACTTTTGCACGTAGGAGATATAGTCGCGGATATAGTCGTCATCAATTGCGTTCAGCTTCGCTCTGAGTCCGTAGGCGACTCGACAGAAGGACAAGGCCCATTCGTCGTCTCCGGAATGGTCTGCGCAAACGCTAGAAGTGGCCTCCATGTTGGCATGACTAGGCAAAGCGAAAAATTGCAGCGGGACCTTCTCCCGGAGAAGACACACGGCGTTACCTAAAGTCGATTTGGGTAAGGGCGGCGACAGTCGAGAGCGAACGTTCACTGGCACACCCAGGCTAGATGTCGCATGTAGGAGGTCTGGTGGGAGCTGGTGAACGCTGCGCTCGCGGATTTCGGGATATCGCGCTCGATTGATACATGTCCACAAGAGGGCAGCAACAACATCATTACTCGAGACCCAGGCGCTCCCAATGGCATCCTCAGTTGAAAGCCCATACTTCTTCACCATTTCCGGTATCAGTTGATTGCAGCGCCTTTTGAGCGCGTTGATCTTGTCGGCGGCGATTGTGAAACATCGATTGACGATAGTGGTTTGACGACCCTGGAGCGCTGACTGGACGCCTTTGTAATAGGACAGCATACTGTCCAAGGGTCTGTACTCCGGGAACATCTTTGGATCAAAAGGCGTCTCGCGGACTTGCGAGAGGACTTTTCTTGCTTCTGCTTCCTGGGCTGGCGACGTGGTCAAGTCAGGCTCGTCGCTCGGAGGAGAACGGCAACAAGCCGCGAGGTTTTGGACGATTGATCCCATCCCTGTTGCGTCAAAGGAACAGTGATGCGTAGCAACGGAGAGAATGATGCCATCCGTGTGAACGTTGACTTGGAACCCGACGATGGGTTGAGGGCGTGAAGGATCTGGAAGTCGTGGGTAGGGCATGTATGGCTCATGCGGAAGGTCACCACCCTGGCTGCTTGGCCTGTTCATCTGTTTGCATACATGTCGTAGGGATGTTTCATGGTACTTGATCTTGAGTATACGGCTGAGCTCGAAGTTGAGCACAGGGCGAACGAGAAGAATTTCTTTCCCACCGTCGGATGCTGGCACGGCCGTGAACTCGCCCGAGAGGAAGGGTAACGCTTGTACAAGACGATTAACTCCAGACTCAAGCAGAGGCACCGCAGCAAGTGGCTTAGAAAGTTTGAAGACGAGTTGACATCGAAGATAGAGAGGGATGCTTAGAGCATCGACAGAGGAGCCCACATATGGCTCGAAACTGATGGTCACGGTCATGACGAGTGTGTATTAGCAATCTGAGTTCTGAACCTCCCTAGAACGCTAGAGACTACATTAATAGTACAGTGATTAGTGCTTAAGTATCGTCCTTGGGCTCAGTGCTTCAACCTGTCGCTTCCCCGTGATAGCGTGATTTCCGATTTGTCACACCGACACTGGGTCTTTCTACCTCTATCAAGACATATTAATTGTTGATTAGACTCAGGAATAAGAGAAGTTGGTCTATGTCAGCCTCGTTCCTTTCCAATGCGCGTCTGCCTTGCTGGGTACGAATCATACGAGGTAGCTATTGACACAGAATGCATGCATCATGCAAGGCACAGAGTTAAAGTGCCATACACACCGCTATTCGCATTCTACGCCAGCCGACAGCTGTTCCGGCATTACGGTTGGCGATTGACCGGAGACTATCGTATCTTTGCCATGGCAATATGGAAATCCCTTGCTTCAGCGTCTCCACCAGCCTCGAGTCGGAGATAGACTCCTATCCAACTGAGAACGTCCGTGAGCTTGAGGCATACAGCCTCCGCATAATCGAGCTATATGGATGTATTTGCCGATGCACTGATGGAGCATGACGACTCCATGATTTTATTCAGTCGATCACTTAGCGTGGTTAACGGCTATGCGACGTTGACGGCGCTGTGTCTCTATAATCATGCGTCTAGGAGAAAGCACAGTATTTTCAAGAAATGCCCCTGTCCAGCTACTGTGCAATTGCTACCTATGGAAGCCAATACATTGCCGCGATCCATCTGCCTGCCCTATAACTAAGTCAAGAGAATCGTGTTTCCTACTAACAACTGACTTCTAGAGATTGCCCTTCATACCACCAACTGCATGGAAGTAAACGGTCAGATATGCGCCACCGGACTCTGTGTAAGAAAAGGCCACCCAGCGCTGGACTGTAGTGGTCTCTGCGAGGTTTCGACAAGGGCTAGATTGTGTTAGCGTTCTATCACAGAAGTCTCATTCTTAGAACACGTACTTGTTCGCATAGAGATCCTTCTTGTACTGCGCAGCCAATCCCTTCCACCCCAAGTAGTCCCAAAATTTGGTGAGCGCATTAGCCATGGCCTCGTCATTCCTTCCGTGCAAAGGAAGATACAGCTGTGGCTTGGGCGTTGCGCTACCCGACGATAGCTCGTAATTGACCACAAGCGGTAGCTGGTCCATGTTTGAGTGTGAACAAACGGCATCATCATACTGCAGAATCCTCCATAACTCTTCGGCAATCTCCAGTCCTTTCATCGTGGCAGAGTCGGTGACCGATCCGCCCAAAGTCCAGAATTCTCGCAGCGTCGCCAGACTCAGCTGGGAATCGGCAACATACAGCTTGATACGCGACTTTTCCGGAACGATGCAATCTACCGCTAGAATGAAAACGTCGCTGGTGACAGTAGGCTTTGAAAAGAGCTTGGTGACGAAGGTTCTCAGGACACGCAAGGGAGATTCAATTTGCTTCGGGGCGATTGACTCAATAGCATTGAAGGCGACGTCCTGCACCGGTATTCCACTCGCAAGAGACTTGCCCTTGAGGAAAAAGTATGCCTTTGGAATGATCGCTCCATCCTTGAGATCAAACGCAATGACCTTGCTCTGCCGCCGCTGTTTGATCAACTTGGACGCGGCAAGGTTAGCCTCGCTCGTGGTCAAACTAAACTGCGAGTCGAAATAGTCAAACAAGCGCAGGTCAAACGTAGGGTCCAAACGGGAGAGCCTTCCTAGAACCTCCCGCGTCATGAACTGGTTCATGGGATCCTGCGACGTGCCCGCGAACTCGCCCACAGGCTCACAACCCAGTCGGACGGTCGCCTTGGAGGCTTGGTAGTTGACACTCAATTCCATGGGATAGCCCTCGGCTGAGAAGCCGCTGATGTAGTTGGCTTCTGCACTGGACCGAATGAACGGACCAAGGACAGGGAGAACATGCCGGTGATAGAAGGCCAGGTACTGGTACTGCTGGTGGACATCGTAGCCGCACTGGATCAGAAGATTATTAAAGTACGGGGCAGTGTTGAGCCAATACTGCTCCTGCTCAATTGTCGGAAGTCCAAGCGATTTCCCCAGCACCTTCCACGGCAGTTGCTGGTCGTTTGAGGTCCCATTCGTCTCCAGGGACTTATTCTCAGCAGTGCCTTGAACAGAATCGGTTTGCATAGACAAGGGAGACATAGTGGCGGTGGAACTTTATATCTTCAGATCAAAGGACCAAATTGGGTGTGAGACAGTATGAAGAATTAGGATGTATACTACTACACTGCGGACAACCCAGGAGCAAATTGAACAGCTAATAATAAATCTTCCATGATTATCACCCTGCACAGACTTTCTATTCACAAAGTCCTACCACCTTGCTGTACACCAACGCAGACTGCATGAGAAGAAGATTTACGCATGACTGTGTATGAGATCACATCGGATCGCCAGGGCAAATCGGGTTTGTCCGACAGTCCTGGTCTGATGCTTGCTTTGCCTGTGTCCCACACACAGATACGTGGCATGGTCATGAAATGTCTGCATTGATTTAGCAGATCCCTTGCTATTGTGAACTAAGCTGCACATGTCGAACTGAGTCACTTTGAACCAATTAATGGTGCTCAGCTCACAAGGCTGAAATCAAAAAAGAAACGGGGCTGTAACTAAATGTTTACATTCTACACGGGTTCAAAGGAATGAAACTTATTCGCCTACTTGACAAGCAGTGGCCTATAGTCCAATCCTCTCTTCGACCTCAGGCTATATGGAAATGAGGGCTGAATTTTGAGTTGCATTCTAGATCCCTGCACCAGGTTGGCAAACAATGGAGAGAGGCTTTTGACTGGCGAAGGGAAAAAAGAGCATGTACATGTGGCTGAGTGGCGTCAGAGATGGCTTCACGCGTATTTCTGCACCTATTTGCTAGGGTCCTTTTTCCAACTATTTGCTGTACTCTGCAAGCCATCAATGGACTATACCCACTGTAGACATACTATTGGACAGAGGAGATAAAGTGATAATCCCTACTGTGCATGAAGCGTCTGCAATTCAATAGTACAATCGAGTCGAGTCTAGTGCATCATTGTGGATTCTGCCAGCTACTCATTTCTGAGTCTATCCTTCCATCAAACAACTCTGGTAGACATGTTACAAATCCAGCTATCAGTGCATGATTGTAGGACTTGCATTATACTCTCAGTTGCCTGGGAACTTGCATGGTGCTCTGCATGAAAATGTGACGTCTGTACTGTTCAAGGCCTGGACTCGGATAACTGAGTTATTCATGCTTCTCCCCGACAGCTTCCCATTAGTCAGGGCCTTTCAACCGCCAATGAGCTTAATGGTTGACATACGACATGTGCCGGATCCATGGCGAATATGCAAGGGGCTATCGATATCAGGACGCGGGCTCTGCAGATCACCGTCCGCCAGCCACAATTTTCGGTCTCGGTGGATTTACAAACGCCGTCAGACTGCCAAAATCTCATTTCTTTTGGTCACAACGTGTGTTTGGTCACATTTGGGACTGGATTGCTGCGCGTGTCTGCCATGGAGTATGTCTCGACGGGTAAGCAACAGGTTTCTTACTACAGGACGAGATGCCCCCCTGTTGTCCTGTCTAGGAAAAAGAACAAGAAAGGCAAGTCGATGGGTCAGCGATATTGGGATTTGGACTTTTCAGCTATTGAAGATCGACCGTGGCAGTCACAAAAAGAACGCCAGCTGAAGAAATGCAAGTAAGACTACTAGACAAGACTCCTTACTAATGCCTCTTCCAGTAATTGCGGAAGAAAGCGTAGCATGTCTTAGAATTCTGTACCCAAAGTATCATCCATGACTACACTCACAATTTGTCATCGTCAGTCAACCAGTCAAAAAAGACCCTTGCTTGCGAAGTGGAATCCAACCAAATGTCCGTGTGATTTGAGATCTGGGATCATGGCTCATACTGCAAGCTCAGCTGAATCTACACGTGTAGCTCTATGTAGACAGCCTCTGCCTGTTCGCTTAAGAAGGTTGCCAAGCGCTCTTCAGTTGTCGAAGAAACAGTTTGATATTCTGCTTAAGCCTGATGAGCCGGCATAGATGACACCTTCCTTAGCAGTTTCTTCAGTTTCAAAATGACAATCACTACAATGACTCCGCAGAATGGGACAAGAAGGCAGGTGGACGGCGGCCCCATCTGCTTCTTTCCAACTATGACCAGGCTGGACATGCAGAGTATCACTTTCGATAATCACGTTGTCCAGAAGTTGACTAGCTTCCCCAATGCCAGCGATGCAGGTGTTCATCTTCTATTAGCAGGTTTGTGGGCATTGACACTGCGTCAGTATGCCGAGGTCGACACGGCTCGGTTCGAAGTATCGACAAGCATATTGGCCAGTGGAAAGGGCTCTGGAGCAACAAAGCATGTTTTCAGCATTGCCCTGAGCCCATCAGATCCGGTCTCGACATTATTCGACGTCAGGAACTGGGATATCCGGTTTGTTGATCAGAAGCACTCGGATTCCTTCAACACGGGCGTTTTCGTGGTCGAGAACCAGAACGGGAGATGTCTTCTCGACGTCGAGGTATGTATACGCTCTGAAGCCACATTGAGTACGCGGATTGACATCTGCCTAGTATCACGATATCAACCTACTCCTGCAGTCCAACCGGACAAGCGCGGAACTGTCACTGGTTTACCGTTCGAGTGCAATCGCTGGGACATACGCTAGGCATCTAGCCGATGGCATCGCGCAGGCAATTATATCTATATCGGAGAATCCCAACCAATCCATTGGTGCAGTAGACTTTTGTTGCTCCCTCCAAAAGGCACAAGTCGTTACCTGGCAGAACGCCAAAATCATTCAACCAGATCGGTCGTTCCTATTCGAATACATAAGCAGAAACGCAACGGTACATGGAGACACTCTGGCCATCGACTCGTGGGATGGACAATTTACTTATGCAGAGCTAGACGGGCTCTCAACTGTTATGGCGACGAGGTTTCAAGAGCGAGGTATTGGACCTGGGGACCTGGTACCGATGTGTTTCGGGAAGACGAGATGGGCCATTGCAGCTATGCTTGCCATTAACAAGACTGGAGCTGGCTTTGTCCCGCTCGATCCGGCGTATCCTCAAAGTAGACTGGAGACGATCATTCAAAAGACACAAGCCCGTGTTGCTCTCGCTTCTCCAACGACTGAATCGATCCTCCGTCCATTGGGTCTGCCCCTCCTCGTTATTTCCGACTCCATACTCGGCTGTTGTCTCCCGCACAGCAAGCGATATACTGCGCCAAACAGCGGTGTTGCTCCAGCCTACTGCTTTTTCACCTCGGGAAGCACAGGCGACCCGAAAGGCTGCGAAGTCAGCCATCTTGCCTTTGCGAGTATTGCGACACACGCACGTTCACTATGCCTGAGCCAGCAAAGCCGCAGTCTACAATTTGCTTCATTCTGTTTCGGTGCCTCTTTGCTGGAGATCTGGTGTACTCTGATTGTTGGAGGCACACTGTGTATTCCTTCGGACCATGACCGCCTCAACAGTCTCGGGGAGTTCATGGCGAAGATGCGGATCAATTGGGCCTTTATCACTCCTACGGTGCTTGCGTCTATATCCCCTGACAATTTCAACAATTTGCACCTCTTCATTGCAGGTGAACCCATTGGAGAACGTGACATCAGAACCTGGGCACCGAGAGCACGACTTTTCCAGGCATACGGCCTGACAGAATGGGCTGGGGTCTTTGCCGTGTCGAGGCAAATACGCACACCGGAGGATAGGAAATCAATCGGGTCTCCAGTCAATGCCCGGGCGTGGATAGTGGACCCGTTAGATCACCAAAAGCTGGCACCTATAGGAGCCGTGGGTGAGCTCGTAATTGAAGGCCCCAGTCTCGCGCAGGGCTACCGGGGTGATCCACAACGAACAGCGGCAGTGTTCCTTCAGCGCCCTCCCTGGCTGACATTGCCGGCTTTGTCAAAGGACGGGAGCTCATCGCGAGTTTACAAAACAGGAGATCTGGTGCGATATGCGGAGGACGGTTCGCTGGTATACGTGCGGCGGAAGGACAATCAAGTAAAGATTCACGGTCAACGCCTGGAAATTGGCGAGGTCGAGTATCATGTCAGGCAACTCTTCCCCCAGGCCAAGATGGTGATAGTCATGGTTCATGAGCCCTCGGATGCGGCGAGCCACCAGCGAAATCTCGTTGCTCTCACTCTTCATCCGCCGAACAATGGCCATACTGGCTTTTCGCATGGGAAACTAGAGTTCATGGAGGTGGATCAGGAGTACCAGTCGAAGGTGGAACATGTCAGAAACGGCCTACGGTCTCGCTTACCAGCCTTCATGATTCCACAGCTCTTTCTTCCTCTCAGCCAGATCCCTACCACTATTACGGGCAAAGCTGATCGCCGATCCCTGTGCCGCGACGTCAACAAGCTGTCCTACGCTCAGCTTCATGGGCTTACTACTCAGATGGTAAGTACTAGAGCGGCACAGGGCAAGGGCGAAGAAGCAATCCATGCAGCCGTGTGTGATGTCTTGGGCCTGGCGCCGGAGCACCTCGGAATGAACGACAATTTCTTTCATCTCGGTGGTAATTCGGCTTCTGCCATGAAGCTTACCATGTCTGCTCGACGGCGAGGGCTGCGCTTCACGATACGCGACGTCTTTAATCATCCGGTGTTGGCTGAACTCGCTTCTGCTGCGAACTTGAGCAACGGATGTGAACGCCCAGTAGTCCAAACTATGGAACTGCTGGAGCCAGAATCAGTCTCTGAACTAAAGCAACTGGCAGTATCCCAGTGCCGTATTGACGAAGACATTATCGAGGATATCTACCCGTCAACGGCCCTTCAGGAAGGACTTGTCGCCATCACTGCGCGGGACCCTTCGCTTTGTAAGGCGAGGGTGATTTGCAAACTGCGCTCTAATGTCCGTATCGATGCTCTTAAAGCAGCGTGGGAGTGTGTAGTACAGCTGAACGACATCCTACGAACTCGGTTTATCTTATCTGCCTCGCATGGGACGTTCCAGGTGGTTTGCAAGGAACCCTTTTCGTGGGCTCGGGCACAGAATCTCGAGGACTGCATACAGCAATCCGATGCACTCGTGCACCGGGTTGGAGATGATCTCGTCCATGCGTACATCATTCCTGACGAGAAGGACAGAGACTCGGCATCTACCTTTGTGTTTGTTGCGCATCA